GTCCTAGCGACGTTCGTCGATGAGCATCCGCTAACGGGTAGTACAGGCGTCTTCGGACGAGTTGTCTGGGGCATACGCAGTGCTGCGCTTCCGGAGGAGGACGGTTTCCAAACGCAGCTGTGAAACACGCTCGCAGAAATACGGCCTTGTTTGTTATGCACCCCCTGCTAGAACGACGCAGGGTCGTCTTCCCTGTAATGCCAATGGAGCGGGCAACAAAAGGAACGGACAGACGAAATGACGCGAAAGAGAAATAAGCTCTTAACACCCCCCAGAAGCCGTTACTTGGACACAAGACCCCCAAGAAACCGATGCCACACCTTGTTCAACTTTGGAAGCAGATTTATATGCACATTGCACAGCACAGCAGCACAGCAGCACAGCCACATTTCCAAGACTTCGCAAATTTAAATCGATCAGTGAAAAAAAAAGGCTTCCGATACAGGCACAGCATATAACAGGGAGAGGGAATATAGTGATTATAAGTAATATACAGCATTGAAATCTTGCCTGATGTATAGCAAGCAACAACCTCGTTTTTTGGACACCATATACGTTTCGCTCGCAATGAAGATAATGATGTGAGCAATAACGGAGATGAATTTAGGTCGGGTGCATGTATCTTGGCACTGCGGTATGCAAAGAGAGCTCTCTCTCTCTCTCTCCAGAAGAACGATGTGACGTGATGACACACACTGCTGTTATTTTACTGACACGCGCTGTTGTTATTTTAATCCATCCGTTTCCTGCCGTCTCACAGACCAAAATGTGGTGTTCATGCAAGGSACCCGTACAACTCTCCGTACGCTGGTTTTTTTTTTTTTTTTTTACATTGTCGTTGTTGATGCTATCCCCCGTTTTTTTTTTTTTTTTTTTTTTTGGTAAATTACCTGTCAAATCTGGACAGGACGGCCTTTCAGGCCTTTTTTTATTGTCATTATAGTATTACGGGGAACCCCGTAGCAGCCACATCCGTGCTCAAGCCTCCAACGAGGGAACATGCGGGAGCTGCACCCACCAGCAGGTGGGCGATACCGGCCAGGGGTCAGCCGGTAGCATCAGGACCGACCTTCTTCGATGGGCCAGTCACTGTGCCTCCCTTCCGGTCCCCTCCCCCTATGAACATCAGCAGTCTCTGCTCGATGCCACTCGGGGGGACCAACGGCATATCTCTAGGTGGCGGGCGCCAAGCTTGCCCAGGAAGGTACATGACACACTCCGCAAACAAAATTTTCTCCTTTAAATTGAGAGAAGGATTTAGCCAAGTAGAAAAAAAAGAAAAAAGAAAAAAAAACATTTCTGGGGCCCCTTGGGGTCAGCCTCGGTGTAATTGTTAGTAGAGTGATATGAGTGATATGGGGGCGTGGACCCCAATATCGAGTAACATGATAACAATGAAGTTCGAGCGGGGTGTGGACCCGACTACTGTCGTCCCCCGAACATACGCACCCTGATAATGGATGTATACAAGCTACATTTACGGTAGGGTGCGCCCAAAATGATGATGCGTTGTGCTTGTGGGTGAAAGACGGTAGTT